AATTTACTTTTCTTCATCTTTATTACGTTTAGTTTCTTATCTACGTATCTGCATTTTATTTTCATAGTCTGTTCTATTATTACCATGGGAACCAGAATCGTTTGACAATATAGAAAATAATGTTCATAGCAGTATTTCTGAAAGTGAATTAGATGATATGCGTAAATATCTGACAGTATTATCACTTAGTAATGAAAATTATTCAATGGATTCTGAATTACAAGAGGTATTCATGTATCTTTTATTGATTATTATATGTTATCCTTTTTAAAAGTTTTTGAATATCCAGTTTATGATAACTCACTATGTTTTACTACATAACTATAATCATGGTTCCTTTAATTTTCCTCTCTCTCTCTCTCTCTCGTTTTTGCTATAAATTGTTATTAAACGTTGCTTGCTACATGTTTGTGCTACATCAAATGCCATGATACGGCCAAAAGTGGGAAGAGTCAGCTTTCCCTCTCATAATGCTCTCACATGGCCACATGCATACAACCACTGTCACACAAGTCCTACTCACTGCTTTCTCGAAGCGGGTGTTATTTACGAAATTGAGAGGACGAAAAGCGAATGTCCGGCGCTTTAACCGGGTTGGTTGACACGGAAAATCCATCTAAGGAAGTTGAAAACCCTGGTTACAAACCAATATTGCACATGGGTTTTAGGATCGTGAAGGAACAAATGGGGTATGAACCTATTGTTGGTCACCGGTTACCACGTGACTACATCTCCTGACGTTACTCCACTGCCTTATGGATCAGACCTTTAGGTCGAAGGCTCCAGGTGTGGTCCCCTAAGAAAACCACCTGCCTTAGTTTGGGTACCGGAGCAGTGTCGCAGAACTTAAACAAATAGAATGATTTATGTGGCGCATATCTATTTGGTGCCCCCTTGTACCAATTTCTCAGAGTTTAAATAAATAAGTAAGGGTAGTAATCTAATGAATAGTTAACAGTTATAAGCTGATTGAATATCTTGGGTAAGGGTCATAATAACTTCGCTCGGAGCCCTTCTAGGGCTACCTCCGATCCCGAGCTCAAATAAAGGAGGAGGGTTGCGCATGGGGTTGGTAACCCCATCCCGTAGAAAATTAACTCTCTAAAAAGGCGCTAACCAGAAAAAATTATTCAAACCATTTAAACTCTGCCCTAGGAGTTAGGTCTTCATTTAGAAGAGTTATAGTGGAGTGTTTGTGCAATGCGCCATAGGCCTTAAAAGAATATCAGGTTTATGAATATTTGGTATTCCATAAAAACATGATTTTGTTCATCAATTGCACGAGACGACAGCAACTGATGGTTAGAGACCTTGAATGACATAGCTGAAAATAGTTTGCAGTGGCACAGATGCATCCACTCTTTGTGTTCTCCCAAATTCTAATCTTTTGAATTCCTCATGTCCCTATTTTTCTCTCTTTTCAAATTTATTTCACTGGATTATACTCCTTTAAATAACATCATCAAACCCTAATGTTTCTCATTACTGCCTATACCCTTTCGGCCTCTACCATTATGGGATTTGCATTGACAATTATATCTCCGTGCTAATGTGATATGGCAATTTGAACTGATGTACTACGTATGTACGAAGTTCTATGTTGTTACTGATTGACTGACTAATCAATTATCACAAGTAGAACCTCATCTTGTATGTAAAGAAACATTTTTACCTTTCGTCTGATGTAATTTCATTAGTTTTTACATATTTACAGCGAATCAATCAAGATTTCGTTCAATGGCGCAGGGATAAATCAACATATATAGAAGCTGATGAATTTGCAATTATGCTGTGTTTACTCAGGTATGACATATTGAAAAATCACCCTGTTTATTATGTTTTGTTTTGCTTGTAAACGATGGGTTCATATTGTTAGCAATCAAAGGTTTACCTTGTATTTTCTCTATGGTAATGTATAGTGTTGTAATCCTACTCATCCCAACAAAGTCCCTATCATCGGAATTGTCAACCTCAAGTTGACGTTTGTCTAGGCTGTCCACTTTTATTTAACTTTGCTTGACATCTCATTACAGTTAACACTCTTACTATCGAACTTTTTGCTAGCTGACTTCTTCCAAGATCCACTTATTGACTTAAAATACACAGATAATATAGTTTAATTTGATAAAGACGCTGAAAAACGTTTCCTGACTGCCTTACGCAACAATCCAAACATGTTTGGCTTTCTTCAACAATTGTAATCTAAACTGCACTTGTTTATAATATGATACGTAATGTCTTCCACAGTTGAAGTGGTTCTTTTTCTTCATCTATACTGTACTGAAAGCTTACAACCTTACCCTATATATGCAGTCATACAGATGTTTTATTGGTAGATATCAATCCCTAAATGTAATATATGTAAATGATTTTTAAAATTATTTAGATTTCATTGTTTAACTTATGGATTACAATCTCCCACTCTTGAACATTGGTTACATATTGTTGAATTGGAATCAAAACGAAAGTCAAGAATCGCATTATCCAAGTTACAAACCTCATAGTACTTAACGAGAATGTAAAAATGTAAAAAGAAGTTAGATTTAATTATTGTTCCTGTTATTTTTTGATTAATAAAATTCCTCTGTTTCTGTTTATTTATTTAAACACAAACGTTGGTACAAGGTGGGGCACCAAATAGATATGCGTCACGTAAATCATTCGATTTGTGTGGGGCTCAGATACCATCCAGGTGCTCAGACAGAAGCAGGTGGTATTCTCAGCAGGCCATGCCCCGACCTTTGACCTAGAAGTCTAACCCATTAGGCAGTGAAGTAACGTAAGGAGACACAGTCCTATGGTAGCCAGTGACCATCATTAGGTTCATACACCATTCGTTCCCTCCGGATCGTGGAGCCTATGTTCACCGCTGATTCGAAATCAAGGTTTTCCAACTCCTCTAGGTAGTACCTCCATATCCACCAAGCCAGTTAAAGCGCCGGACATTCGCTTTCGTTCATTTAATTTCGTAAACAACAGTAATATCGCGAGGCGTTGGGTAGGACTTGTGTGGCAGTGCTTGTATGCACGTGGCCATGTGAGAATATTTTCACAGGGAGAGTGGACTCCCCTACCCTCAGCGTACCAGGGCATTTGGGGGCTCAGTCATGCTTTTCAAACAAACTAGCTTAACTGTCAAACAAAAATTCAAGTCTCTTGGGCTAGTTACAACACGACCGCCAGGATTTTGGTCAGCACGAAAGATCAGGCGATGTTGTATTGATTTTCCTACAGTTATCTGTTTGTGTAAGTTTTGATTCTCTTAGGATAAAATTCAGACTTTCTCTTTGGGTAAGCATATCCTAAAACGATATCGAGTGTCTGTGAAGCAAATCGATAGGAATTTACCATTGGGACGAGATGTAAAAATAATTTTAGTGGACCAAAGTAACTATTCCTATCTATAATTCCTACCTTGAGAATTACGAATTATGAGACAGTAGTAATGATCTTTAACCTAAGATGATGACAATAGCAGTTTGGTATCCCCCAAAATTCTATGTGATATCGCAAACTCTCCAAATAGGCAACTGTCTTGACGTATTTCTACCTTGAAAAGCTGTCATTAAGTTGATATCTTAGACCAGCCGGACGCTTTTCCGCAGCAACAGATGCTCGTGTAGATGATGACCAACCTATAAATGTACATGGGTTGTGAACACCATTATTCTGATTTCGGCAATAGTCTCATGCTGCAATATTGATCTTGATAGTGGCTGAGTTGACCACAACATAAGTACGAAAAAGGAAAGAATGCATTGAATAATTAACCATCCATGCATTCGAACCATTATTTGGATCCAAGTATAAAAACAGCTTTCATATCGAGGGGCGTATAAGTCAAAACATGTTGTATGATTTGTGTATCGATTAAAGTCCATATTAAATCACCATTCCGTCTCATAAAAAGCAAGCTAAATTCGTTCCCAATACTATTTCATAACGTCGCATTTCGGCTACATTAAGACAATTGACCAAATCAAGTAGGTAAATTCTACCAATATAAACTAAGCCACCGGTAATATGACACGATATACTGTCATATTCAGTCAATAGAGGTCATTAGGATTGTTAATTTAACAATTTAGTAATAGAGTGTCTAACTGTAGCGCTGAGCATTATCTAAGAGGACAACACTTCTCGATATACAAAAAAAAGGGAGCTAGGTTCATAGGACTCCTGGCAGAATTAGTTGAGTCGGTCATTTATTAATCAACGTAGCGTCTGGCGCAAATGTGTATTGACCACAGTTGTTATTCCGCATATCCACAAGATCAGTAGCAATGACAGTGAAAAAGACTAGGATTTGGAAGTATGATTCGATTAGACAGGACTGAAAGATGTGTATGGCAAAATACTGGCAGTTATAATCTAGAAACAAGCAGAATAAATGCACTTGCGCTACGGTAATTGATTCTAAGCCAAATCACTCAACGTTACTAATCAATGGACACGATAACTGTGCAGATCTCGATCAAACAATCTGCATTTACCAACTTGACTTAGACCAGTGATCACATAAGCCGATACTATGTTTTGATTTAACCCGGTCTGATTTTCTTTAAAGCTTACTCTTACATCAGCTAACATTGCCTATCAAAGTAAACAATCCTCGAACGTAATGCTAACAATTATCCGGAAACATTATAGAAAAATCTGCAATCCACATATGCAAGTATGAAGTGTATTGAAAACTTCTAGTTCAAGTCTTCTATACAGTAAAAATCAATGTTTGAAGATATTATATTATAATGTTGCTAAGACCTTGTTTGATATATGTGAAGGCTGTGATACTGCCCGGGTGCCCAAACTGAAGCAGGTGGTTTTCTTAGGGGGCCACACCCCAATGTTGCTAAGACAATATATATATATATATATATATATATATATATATATATATATATTGCCAGAAGAAAAAAAGTGCCCATTAGCTATCTTGAATTCATCAACGCTTGTTACCGTGGCTTAGAGTATGGAATGCCTATTTTAAAAAAAGGCTCTTTATTTAAATAAATTCCCTTTTATTTTTAGAAAAAAATATATTCAAATCAACTATGTATAAAATTTAATAATCAACACTCTATGATTACAATCAGTGTATATCTATATATACGAATTCTTAAGAAAGATGTAATAAAATAGTTTTATTGAAATAAAGATAAAAGTTTAATTTCATATTCTGGTGATAAATCAATTGAAATTATCGGTTGCATTGCTTTCTCATATTTAATTAATAGTTCTTGTTTACGTTTCTATAAAGAGATGAATACATAGAAGAACATAAAAGTACAATGGAGATAAAATTAATGGAATATATGTTTATTGGTCTCAATGCAAAATCCCGCTTTACCAACTTCATTGTATTATTATTTATTTAAACACATAAACATTATTACAAGGAGGCACCACATAAATCATTCAATTTGTGTAAGGGATGGGATACTGCCCGGATATCCAAACCGAAGCAGGTGGTTTTCTTAAAAGGCCACACCCCGAGTCTTCGACCTGAAGATCTGATCCATAAGGCAGTGAAGCATTGTGAAGAGATGCAGTTCCATGGTAGCCTGTAATCAACGATTGGTTCATACGCCATTTGGTTCCTTAGGATCGTAGAGCCCATGGACACAATTGGTTTGGAATGAGGGCTTTTCGGCTCCCCTAGATGGACTACTTAGCTGGGGTCCGCGTGACTATCATAACCAATGTTTGGAGAATCTTGGTGACATGGAGGTTTCAAGGGGCATGTATTCAGTTTGGGAATTAAAAAGCTGAAGATAAATACGTCTCGTGTATTCTTAATTTTTGAAATGATTGTGGAAATTTTTCTTTAGAATCAGATTTACCAGTGAGCACTTGTGGTCTTTGGCTTCAGAAATCTGATGTGGGTTCCGATATCACTCCTAATAATGCCCATTGACGACGTGAATTCATAGGATAATGAATGCTCTGCACAATAATTACACTTTTTTGCATGAGAATCCTTGCGATTTCGAACAAAATGTATACTGAGGGGAATTTTAAATAGAAATTAGTCTGACCGATGCATCAGGTTACCTGGGGTTATTAATAATGTGGAAATTATACTATTCCGATATCCTTGATCTCGATTTTTTATGATTACACATCAGTTAGTAAACAAGTCAAGTTATATCATATACCGTTCCAACAATTTTCAGATTTCAATGGTTAAGATTATGAGTCAATTGAAGCTAGACCACCATAGAAAACCTGGAAGAACTGAACAGCCGTTTTGTCCTATTGTGGGACTCATCAGTAGTGCTTCTAGGTTTTCCATGGTGGTCTAGCTCCGACTAACTCATGATCTTAACCACTGAAATTACTATAACATCCACAAAACCCATCTGATATTAATTTGCAGATTCTTTGCATCTTATTATTCAAGCGAAAAGAACACAACAAAGTAGGTTGATACATACCCTATATTACATATTTTATAAAGGATGCTCGTATATTACTAGTATTTGATTATAGATACCGTCAAAGTATTACTAGCAATCCTCAGGTTAAATAAATAGAATTGGATCAACATAACAAGTCACTTGATGAAGTAGTGTATATTTATCAACTGCAGTGGTCGGAACATGCAGTACGTACGTTCAACAATTTAATTCGACGTGGAATATTGACCAAACAAGGAATACGTTGAAAGACTAATGACGGCTAAACCAAAACATGACATAAGACTGTCTATGAATATGTTGACTATTGGATTAGTCCATATTAGTAGACGCCGATTCCTTAGCTGGGTTTAGCGCGATTATTGTAACCACTGTTTGGAGACATTAGGTAACATGACAAAATAGATCGCAACAGTATAGACGCATTCGTTGTTTTCCTTTAAGTCTTGAGTTTCTAAATTATTTTAAACATTTAATCCCGTGAAGTTATTCATTCTTCTCTTTGAATTATATTGTTTATGTTCCCATATTTTCTATTGCCAAAGGTAATTTTACTCCTTTTACTATTCTAATAAACCGTCTTAATAATTTTATCTCGCTGTGTTTGCATTGTGTGCAACTTGAACCGATAGACATATGCATCAAGTTCTTTGTTACTTACGGCTGATTGATTCATAATGAAGTGTTTCTCAAGAAATACATATTATCAGAAGCGGTTTTGTGGAGATTGTAGTAATTTCAATGATTAATATCATAAGTCAGTTGAAGTTAGACCACCATGGAAAACCTGGAAGCATTACTGACGAGTCCCACAATAGGACAAAACGGCCGTCCAGTGCTTCCAGGTTTTCCATGATGGTCCAGCTTCAACTGACTCATGATCTTAATCATTGAAAATACATATTACTTAAGTTTCAACGTTACTTCAAAAGTATTGCATTTAGAAAGAAAATCAGAGTATATGGCAGAACAGTGTAAACTATTCTACTAGATGACTATCATTTGCTCTGGTAGACATAATATTATACAAACCATAAATTGTCAAGAAATATTTCAAAAAGTATAGTTATCATATGCATACCTTGGCATCTGATGCTAATTCATTATTAACTTCTTTATTCATAGACTCTGATATTATAATTTGAAGACTGGTAGTAACACCATTATTTTCATCTTCTGGAGGATTAGGCGTTGATTTATATGCATGTTGATGAAATTCCGATTTGATTGTTTCATCACTTGGTAAAGTTCCATCATTAATTGGTGCAGTAATACATTTTTTATTATTTTCACTACGTAAATTTAACACCTAAATGTTTAATAAGTACATCATAAGGAAAATGTTGTATTTGGTAATTTTACAATACCAATCGTGGCTCTGCATGATGCAACAAGTGTTAACAGAAATTAATTGTGAGTACTCTGCTATGAGGTGCACTGTGTTGTGTAATACTGTAGAACAAGGCAATTGGCATAAGTAATCAACGTTTAGTCTGAGAGATTGCAAAGTACCTATATAATTCATATATATAGCCTAAAGTCATCCGTTTGCATCTTGCGATATGTTCTACAATACAAATTGTCTTCCCTTCTAGTCTTTAAGTGTTTTGTCTACACCGTACCTTGGATGTATAGAAATTCTTTTCTCCGTCTGGCTGGCAGCTCTGAAGCCACATTCTACTTCATACTACTTGTGAGTAGCGTTCACCACAATACCACAAGTGGGGCAGATTTTAGAAAGGTAGACAAGTGATTAAATGTCTGACCTTATGCCACATGCATAAAATGAAACAGATAAATTTTATTCTTCGAAGATTAACAACAACACTTGTTTCATAGTATTTTGATTGCCAAATGTAAACTAATGATTAAACAAAAAGAGAACATAACTAGATGTAACCTCTCGGCCCTGATTTCCGCTATATGTTGTGCCATTTATTTGTATGAAATTTTTTAAACCGTACCAGTGTGTTGATGATGATGCTTAAAAATTTGGTACGATTTGAACCAAAAAATCAAACCAAAACGGTGCTAGCAGTGTTACTGCTATCGTCACAGTTCTCAACATCATCCTTTATAGTTAGGTAGCACAATCCAGGATCGTAAGATGCTTTATAGATAGAAATTTAGCCGATATTGGCACATGGTTTATGTATAAACAGTTTCAACAGTTAATAGTAATTTTTCAACCAAATTACAAAAGCTTATTTTCGTATTGGTTGCTTGAATCGTCCCATTGATGTTTATGACTGCTAGCCACCATCATCTCAAATTAAATAAGTTTGAAATACATGTTAAGAAGTTTGTAAAGTTCATTTTTTTACTTCAACACTGCATTCAATAAAAGATAACTTATCCGTATGATTTCGTTCATTTTTATACAATCAGTATTACTTACTGACCGATCTTTTATGTATAGAGTAATTCAGTTAATCAATTATATGCAACGTAGAACCTGACACATTTGCATCAGTTCAAGTTACCACACCACATTAGTACATGGATAAAATTATCAAGACAAATGCCAGAGCAGTAGAAGTAGTAATAGTATCAATGGTAGTCGAAAAGATTTATTGTAGAAAAAAAATTTTCGAGATAGGTTTTAATGTAACATAAAGAGTGAATGCATCTGCATCATTGTGAAAAATTTCCAGCCACGTCATCCAAAGTCATTAGCCGCTGGTTTGAAAACTCCCGCGAACTCTAAACAAGTAGTCTGTACCTGTTTACATGGCTTATCCCAGTTTTCGACATCTTCATAGACTAGTATCACTTCTTGGTTTGTAGATTTTCAAGTGACATGTAGAAAACTAGACTAGGCCTCTGTTATGTATGATTTTGGTTAGTGACTTTCCAACTGTTAGAACCAATTATTAGAATGTTTAGCGACAGGTGAACCCAATGACATAGATGTAGCCAAATGATGGCTACTCACGGGATCGTATAGTTGACTTGAACTCCCGATTGATCATAAATTAAGGCCACTACCCAGATGAATGGATTTTTCGTGTGATAAAACGTTCTGTGTATACACAGAATGTGAGCATAAATAAACATGATCGAATATCATAGGCAATTGGAATAAATCAGCTTATAGATCAATCACTACCCAATCAATTACAACCTGACTGTTAGGCCTAATCTTTCAAGACTGCATCTGCTTCATAAGAACCTAAATAAAATCTTCTAACTTTGAAAAGCATATAAACATCAGAAACAAAATGGGTTTAGGTGAAATCTAAATTGTTTTGCGATATATAGTCGGATAATTTACAGAAAGATAAAGAACGGATGAATCGATATTCTCAAAAATACTAATCAACAAATCCAACCATTAGTATCATATTTCTTAGGAATATAACACAACTAAATCTCTGCTACCCTTTATTTTTGTTTGACCATGCAAGCACTAAATAGATCACCAAGTTCTACACAGCAAACTATTACATGGAACGGCATAACTCACCTCAATTGAAGAAAGTTGTAAGGATTCCTGAGGATGTAAGCAATTAGATTCCGATAAAATTCGAGAAAACAAGTTCACATGAGGTCTATTATGTTTTGGCTGATAAGATGTTAATGGTTTTCGTCGTTCCTCAACCTGGAAAATATTCGGCTGTATACAAGGAGTAAAACGAAATAACCCAGCTAAGAAATTAGGACCGTTTAAAATCATTTCACGATTTAAGGATTTCTCAATATTAGTAACACAGTCCATGACCTTCAGGGAATGGCAGCAATTTTCCTTATCTGGACAATTCTTTATATGTACTCGACTAATCATTATTGTGTACTACTAAAAAGGAAAAAAGTTACTAAGTATGTGACCACAAATAATTAACTGGTTCCTCCATAAATTATAGTTTCACCTGTAAAGTCTGATAAAGCTTCATGCCATTGCTTAATGTTCATTTAAAACGGTCCACTGAAGAGACCGTAACTAAAGCAGATATGTAGTTAGTGAGGAGTTGATACGTGATGAGAAAAAATAGAATCGCAACTGGGTGTTCGCTTGTTACGAAATCTTTCCAAGATATCATTGTGGGTTACTATAGGGGGAGAATAGTTGGGTTACATTTGTGAAATGTATGGGTTACTTAAGAACTTGTTGAAAGTGGTGAGATTAGCTCCCTTCTCTCTATATATTCAAACGGAAAGTACTAACTCGAACAATCGTGCATTTTGCACCCCAAACATATGTTTGGGGTGGTTGTATATACAACCACTTTTACTATGACCGTAAAATATTTCCACCCTTTGAGAAAATGATATCGCTACATCCTTACCACCACTACTTGACTCTGGAATTAATACCTATCACTGGGAAGTGGGCGTTAGAAAGAAAATGGTTTACATAAGTTTTATTAAGACATTTCTATCATTATGCTTGCTCCAAAAATAAACTTCATCGGTCAATGGTGACTGTAACCCAACTATCACTAAAAATGTAGTAATGAATTACTACATGCGTAAGCTTATTAGAAGTATGTTTACTGATACATTAGTGATGTAAATTAGCGAGGACCGCATTAAATAAGAATGGGGAAACAAAGGAGAACTCTGAAAAATGTGGGGGAAATTGCAAATAAAGATCAATCTTTTTGCCTACGTTAAGAGAATAATGAGATACTTCGTCTTAATTTCTCTTATGAGGCGAAGTCTATAAATAAACAACTTAGTTATCGCCAATCGGGATCCTTTGAGCTTACATTTTCACAGAAATGTCTATTTTCAGTCCGGCTTCATAGGGAATTCAAATATCGTGACGTACAGTCCACCCTACCATTGAATAACTCCGAAATGAACCTTTATTTTATAATAAATATTGGCATCAGTCTTCGAAGACTGAAAAAGAAGACAATAAAAGGAAAGTCGATAAGCCAGTTAGCGCACGTAATGCACTCACTGTTATTTAGGAAAACAATAAGGAACAATCAGCGATAACAGAAGTCTCAGATTATGACAATCTTGAAAACTATTAAAACAGTGTCAAGAAACTGCTAAATAGATACTGAGACATACAAACAAAATCCCACATATGTACAAGTGTGAAATATTCAGAAATATGCTCAAGAGAAATTCAAAGATAGAAATACAAGCTTTTTACATGGCAATTTATTATTCAGGTTTTCAAACATTCATAATTATATGCAACAATAAAGTTACTCAGACTTTTAACCAAACCTTTCCAGTAAACCTTATTAACTATTTCATTTAATTTTTTGAGCTTGTAAACGCATTGTAACTGATATCGAATCCATTCAGTGATTTGTACTAATTCTCAAATGTGACGTTTTGTTACCTATCAGTTCTAATTGATTATTGCGCTATTTATTTCCACTGCATAGAGTTATGTAATGGTTCTCTGGATGCATAATTCATCGCATATACAGCTGACCTCAACCTCATTTGCCATGGGGAAAATGGTATATCTAATTAAACTTCATTTACCTTCAGACAAAGCGAGCGTATATCAGTAGATCATGTAGGGTTCTTAAGTCAAAGCATGTTGCTGTGTTTAAAGAGATTACGAGTTCACCTAATCTGCAAACGAAATGAAGACTCAGTGACACAATGAACAATAAGCTAATGATTCCGACGCGTCCCAGTCCCGCTAACTAGAGAGAGAAGTACAGGTTCAGAAGAGGGAAATGTATTCCACAAGCAACTAGAAGCACGAATGACTTTGGGATTGCGGTTCACTATAATATTAGTACTGCTCTAATAATAGACCTAATTCTAAAATTGTAGATTTATCATGATATAACTGCCTAATCTATCGCATCTCACGTGGGAGTTACGTCACCGTCTACACAAACTCATTGCATTGTAACAATTACCAACACATGATGGAGAACAAGCTTAGGCTAGAGATGGAACAATATATTCAATATGAATAAACGATATAAGGTAACATTCAAAAGAGATTACGCCTGCGACGCCGAGCCGTGCCATCCGATCAACACGAATCAATTCAATCCATCATTCTCGCCTTATCCATCGTTGATTCTTTCCCCCGTTAAATCTTGAATATCTATTTCCCCAGTTGTCTCGTGTTTAGCTTTGAGGATTGTGTAGTTAAGGCCCAATGCCACTAAATAGCAACCAAAAGCATACCTCAAGCGTATATATACACACAACATAAAAATGTCCTTGGAAAACTTTACAAAAGAACATATTAAAAAGATAATTACCCAATGACATTCACCGTCCTTCCAAGTGGGAGATACAATTTGTGGGTGAAGATGGGCGCCGTCTGTGCGAAAGCAAGAAACCGAAATTTCTGTAATACAATTACTAAAATGATACATTTACCAAGTGAGTTCTGGGAATCTAGCATCCACAACACCGTTAGACGTCGTTCATTAAAATATTAACTTGTTTCTAAAAAACTTCTTCCTACCATTAATTCTGAAATATATGTCATTCCAGAGGAAAATGATAAAAAACGTTCTTTATGTAACAATAACTTAAAGACAGAATAAACGAGACAACCTTTTTACCTGGTTACATTTGCAAAACATTTCACAGTTTAGGGATCTATAGCTTAACAAAAAATCTCAGCATTAGAACAAACTGATTTTTCGTTGATGAGCGTTGAATTTAAATATGATTAACTGATTCGATTTTTGTGTTCGTGAATACTAGTCGACGTATGAAGCGTTTTGTCTAGATTTACTCGAAAATATCTTTCCACGTAAGAATTTGTATCTACACTATAATTTATGGTCGAACCAGTCAGATCTAAGAAAGCAGGTCTTGGTTTTTTGCGCGAACTTTATTCACACATTTGACTAGATATTATTTCGGCACTATAGCTGATGAAATTTTGTGCTGAAATCATCGAATAAAGACTTGTTAACCAACACGTTTAAGTCTATATGATCAACGTCATCATATTCACTGAAGTTGAATTTGTTGAAAAGATCAGCTTTAAACAGCAGATTTATGAACGAACTTATTAGGTCATATATCCAATACACTCGCATTAGAAACATAGATTACCTGGTAAATGTGACTTAATGCAGTGCCTTCCAACAATTTTCGGAAAACTATACAAACTGTTATAAAAGTAGTGTGAAATTCCAAAATAAAAATCCGTTCATTTATATTCCTAAACTAAATTCTTATTTTTCACAGGTCAATTCATTTTCTTCTCACTGGTACAGTTTGCAAAAAACATTTGCAGGTCTAATCGACGCTTGCGAGTAGAAAGTTTGGTCTTATTTTTTAAGAAATACTCTTGAGGATTCTCGTGTACAGCTACGTTATGTCGTATAGTATGTTATTTTACATCAGTTACACTCTTGAGTGCATCGTGACAAGCAGGATTTTTGAAGGGCTTTTACTATTTTTCCACAAGATTTGCCATGATAATAGTACAGCACATATTACACACAAAGTTCGTATTGCGGCGTACCTTTCGTCTGCGAGTGACTCGAAGAAGCGTAGTATGGGATAACCTTATTAACTACAAACTTTTTATATCGTATTCTGCATTTAGATGTAGTATTGAAGTTTGGTCACTGTAGATCGTGACTGTTGATCTCTAGCGGGCCTACTGGTTGCTTCGAAGTAATTCTGTAATATCAAAAACCTGATGGCATACGAACAAACGAACTTCTTGCTAGTTTAGATCTCAAGATATATGCCCTCCTAAAATGTAGTGATATTGGCTCTTAGTAACACGTTTGTGAACAGAAAATTACTGAGATGAACGGCATTCAACGTGTAATACTTGGAGGTGGTCAGTAACGGTGAATGCGGGGAAGTTTGATCGTTTCGGCTTGGCTGTTCCATGCAGGCTCGATCATCACATGTAGCCTCTTGTCTTTGTATTGAATATATTGCTGTCTACATAGTCCAAAATGTGTTCTTCAGAAGTGTTAGACGTTATATTGCTGACAGTAAAATGGGACGGGTCGACATAGACTATGATTTGACTTCCACGTTAGATCTTATAGATTAGGTAGCCACATCTTCACATACCTACAACTTTCGGATTAGGTTTATGATTATAATATAGTATATTTCTGCCAAGGCCGGTGCATACCATTTTTACAGGCATGACCTAAAATTTACAACATCAGTTCGCTTACAGCATGCTTCCCAATTAGTGTCGTTAGTTAGATGAAATCATTAAAAGTGAAAGACACTAAATATGCGCAGATAACTCGCAGCGGTAGTGATTAGGTTCATGCTTTAGTATTACACTGAGTTTAGTTGTAAATTATCCTTCCACAGTGGTATATTTGTGTTAGAATCCTGGCCGTACTAATTATTTATGCCATGCAACTTTTCAAGTTTATAGTTGTCATGAAGTAGATTTGTAGAGCGCTTGGTATAACCTGTGACTTTGAGAAAACGCGTACGTTAAGTTTGTTCCACGCATTAAATACTCCATAGCTGTGCTCTGAGAGCATGGTCCGGAAAAGAAGGTTAACAGAAGCAACAGTAAGTCACTTAATTATGAACGCTAAATAATGCCTAACATTTTGTAGTGAAACAGACAGAGGTATGATGAATTAGTAGATCAAATACGTGATAGCTCTTCTTGCTAGAGTGAAATCTGTTAAGGGTCTCCAGATGAAAGTGTGTAGTAATGAAGAACAATGTGTTATGATATTTGACAAGGTGGATTAGGTCCAACTGATGGAAGGGAATTCGAAGTTATATTAAAGAATGCTTTTTAATAAAACGGAAAGAGCATCAGAAGAGCAAAGTGTTGAAAAACACTAATAGCTATATCATATGGTGTTCCATTATTTTAGGTTATTTTCACTTGAGGCAATTCGCACAGTCTTGGTGTTAAGGTCGGAGTTACCATGCTATAGGTTGTCTTAGCAGAATGGCAAATCCAACACAAAATCGGAACTATGAATCTGAATAGTGAGCGTAAGAAAATGACCTCAGTATCACTGATTGACTGCTTCGCTTTCAATCATAAAGAGCCTATTACAAGGAAAATATTCTACCCCACAAACTTGGATGATTGAAGTCACCATTGTAGGGTAACAAGTGATGTTATTTAAAATGATTAAAAATACGGATTATATTAAGTATGAAAACGAAAAATGTAGCCGGACTACACAGTACTTGAGTTGCTCACTCAACTTTGTACAATGAAATCTAGAACACTGAGAGTAGATAAATTGTTAAAAATCTTAAAACTAATTACCCGTCAGTGGAAAAATATGAGACTGACAAGACAGTGACGTATTTTGGTCATTCTATCATCCGATACCTCAATCACTCGAACTGAAATAAACGTTCTTATCCAACTGTAAATCATCAGGTGTCTGAAAATTTGTCAATAAACCAAGACACACTAACAGTTTAAAAACATATTTGTGTTTTTGAAAGGTAGCAAAGTAAGATAGTTCCAAGCATCAGTAAAGCAATCTTAACGGCGAAATACGGAAGACTCCAAAATTTGAGGTCAAGTATAAATAACGCGATCCATATCAGCGGGAAAGATGAAATGATGCGTAAAATAGATGGTAAAAGTTCCGCCCGTAACCAA